GCACAAAAAGTACTGCAGATATTTTAATTTTTCTAGGTACCTGTCACATGTATACATTGAACTTTCGTAGACTATATCTGTCCACTTATATATAGAGAGCAATACCATGATTAGTCTAGGATTAAATGCAGTTTGTTGAAATTTAATACCTTATAACATTCGTTTTTGCATAGATGCTATGACACGTGCCTGACATACTTAGAATGTAGAGAATGGTCTTCTGAAAAACACAGTATCATCCATACAAACTACAAAATCCTTGGCCAACATATCTGAAATTTCAGTTTTGAATCTGGAGAAGACAACAACAGTTAAATAAATCTTAGGGCCATGATGGTGAACCTATGGCACGTGAGCCAGAAGTGGCACACAGAGCCACTTCTTCCAGCACGCGAGAGGTCGCCCAGAAGAGCCCCACTGCACATGCGTATGCTGCTGCCAAACAGCTGATTGTCGGGTATCTGGTATGCATGTGTGGGAGATGCATGTGCAAAGATGCATGGCGAGTGCATGCTCAGATGTGCAGTGGGGGGGTCGTGCAGGGGCCATGGTGGGGGGCCAGCACACATTGCCTTCTGGGTGCTAGCACACGAGTGCAATTTTTGGCACGGGAGCAGAAAAAGATTAGCCACCACTATTCTACAGCATTACTGTGTATTTGCTTTATCAATATCTATGAAATAAGGGTCAAATCCACACAAGAACAGGATTTATTTCATTCATTTTCTGGGATTTTTCAGTGATAATCCAGAACAATTCTGCCAAATCAGCAGTAAATCCTGTTAATATCATTAGATATAATTTTAACCAATCAGAGTAACAGTGCATTGTGTCCACATTTTTAACAATCTCCTGCTTCAGTCCAGCTTGCCTCCAGCTGCTTTTCACAGCTGATAGGTGGAACACTTCTCATAGTTTGTATGATTAAAGAATCCAGAATTTAATCTCATGATGATACATTGGCAATATCTCTAAAACCCTTTTATCTAATTAATCCATTTTAGAGGCATGTGTAATAATGCATAGTTGGGGATATATGATTATATTGTAAATGAATTGTAAAAGACCATTATTTATGTCACATTTTTAGAATGTACTTGCAAAATTGGACCCTACAAAATCTGATAATAACAGAACGATAACAACCGTAAAATTGCATTTATAACTTAGAACTTCGGAATTATGGGGTTTATTTATTTAAAAGATGTACATGACTGTCCATTTCATTTGCCAAATCACCAATAATAAAAGCACTCAAAACTCTAAAAAACAAAAACTCTTATTTCCCAAAAAGGAAATAATTTCCATATATCAACATTCACTTTTGCTGGGCTCCAGCCACATTTTACCCCACTGCTTGCAGGCTCTTAAGTACTAGTAGGTGATGGGAGCATGCTAGGCTTCACAGGACATGATCAGAGTGTTCTGCTTTGTTCTCCACTTTATATCCCATTTTCTAAACCAGCAAAATACTGTTGTATTTCTGTAAAGAAGAATTTTCCTGAAACACATTGTATGTTGCCATTTGGTTAAGTAAGTACTATTGCTGAAAATTCTGAGTCTTTTGATCAAAAGGTTGTAGAATATTTCTATTCAGTTATTTGGTTATTTTCTTCATTTTTATGGACTTGGGGCATATTTAGGTTGTGAAGAGGGGAAAAAAGTATGCTGATCTTTATTGTGGGAATGTCTTATATTACTATAAATCTTGAGAATTTTTAAGCCTGTTTATCTAAATATTTAGTTATTCATTTTATATCCTGTTCTCTCTTCCAATTTTTCTTCATAATAGTAATTTTATATAGAGGTTGGTCTGAAAGATTTATTGGCCTGAAATCATCCTGATTCTCCTAAGTATCTGTGGCTGAGGATAGAGTTGAACCTATATGTCTCCAGTGTTTTTATATCTTAGCCATATTTTTAAAAACAATCCAGAGCAAACAACAGAATCTGTAATTAACCAAAAATTGCAGCCTTCATGCATGGTATTTATTCAACACAAAATGATCAGTAAAGTTCCAGCTATTACAGCATCCCTATGTTCATGTGAACAAAATTTGGCAAGAAGTTCACACTAAATCTGTTAAGCCCTGTTTTGGGTGGTTTTTGCAGTTGTTCGAAGCCTTCAATACTTCATCTGCTTAAGGAAGAATACTGTTCGCCATTTTTAATAATTCTCCAAAGCACCTGAAGGCAGGATAAGAAGCAATGAATGGAAACTTAATCAAGGAGTAATCTAGACCAACCTAGAAATAAGGAGACATTTCCTGATAGAACAGTTAATTAGTGGAATGACTTGCTTCCAGAAGTTGTGGGGTGCTCTCATCATTGAAGGTTTTTAAAAAGGCGTTGGACACCCATTTGTCAGAAATGGTATAGGGCAGTGGTGGCTAACCTTTTTCAGCTCTCGTGCCAATAATTGCGTGTGTGGTCGCTTGTGCTCGCTTGTGTGCTAGCACTCAGAAGGCATTGCGTGCTGCCCCCCCATTCTCCCTCGCACGCTACACGTCTGCGCATGCACACGCAATTCCACCTCGTGCACCCTGCACCTTTGTGCATGCGCATACGACTCCCATGGAACCCCTGTGCATGCTCACCAGATGCCTGACAATCAGCTGTCGGCTGGCAGCATGCATGCGCAGTGGTGCTCTTCCAGGTGACCTCGCTTGCAGGGGGAAATGGCTCTGCCTGCCACTTCCGGCACGCATGGCATAGGTTCGCCAACACAGGTATAGGGTTTCCTACTTGAACAGGAGATTGGATTAAAAGACCTCTAAGGTTCTTTCCAATTCTGTTACTCTACTCTGATAGGTATGCCGCGGAGGGGGGAGGGGGCTAGGATATTTCAAGTAGATCGCAAGTGAAATACATGTAACGGGGGCAATGCTGAGATGGCCACAGAAAAGCAAAGGCAATCTTTTTCACTGATAATATGACCTGGACAAGTAGCCACAGGAGAAAAACAAGGTCAGAGGGAAACCATGCGTAAAAAAAGATTGAGAAATACTTCATTAAGCAACAGTGTTGATCCATTTGCTAAGCATTCCATAGTGAGCTGGTTTTATACTGTTCAAAAGCCAATCTTCAACCCCATGTTTTCTTAAAGACTATATAGTCATTTTACTGTATTCCTTCTCTAAATCCAGAAATGTACAAACTATCTCAATTTATATATTTCTTGGTGATCTGCTGAATAGCAATTATATCGATTCCTTACTGCATTTTACAAGTTGTGTTCATCACTTCTTCTTACATTTTTCAATTAAAATACTGCCCAAATATTTTCCCAGGCATACTAAATAAATTAATCTCATTCAATCTTTTATATTTTTATCAGTCTTGCTACTTTTCCTTTTTGTATGGGAACAAAATCTCTTTATCAGACATAGATGCGCATATGTTGAATAAACCGCACAGATCTTGTATTCTAAAAGCAAATCACATCCGTGCTATAACATTTTTCTAGTTATACTAATTGTGTTGCACCTTTAACATTTTCAGCATTTTCATACCATTGATTAATTTTTTATCCACTCTTTCTTGTGAATACCATTTGTGGTGTTCATTTCTGTTCAACAGTATGTACAGTGTATATAGATTTTTGTGATATGTTTCTTTGGAGTGCAAATTGCAATTGCCTAATACTGTTCGTTCATGGTTTATTTGAAAACATTTGGGGGATGCAAAAACCATAGATTAATCAGTACTTTAAAATAACGGGTTCACTCTAAATGAGAACATGTATTTTAATTTTTAAGATTTATTATAATTCCCCAAATTCACTTTTTTTTTCATTAGAGCAAGTTCCATTGGGGGAAATTTTCCACATTTTTTAAAAAATCATTACATTTTTCTTCCATTATATTCCATTCAGGTTGGCAGTAGCATGCTATTTTTTTTAGAATCCATTTTTATTTTTATGAAATGATATGTGACTATATGATACCAAGAACAATGGGTAAGGCTAGAAAAGTATAGAGAAGCATAATGAATTATGCTGTTGTGTCCCCTTTTCTTTTTTAGTTCATGCTTCTGATTTGACTTGCTATGTCTCTTTTCTGCATAAAGTTTCTTATCCTAAAGAGGCAGTTAAGATGAATATGTATATGCCTACCTCTATAGATTCTATTTGTTTTGTTGCTGAATACTTCTTGACAATTAGGATAATATTCATTATGCTATGGATTTCCAGTGGTTTCCATTCTGGGTTCTTTATTTGGTTTGTACAATAGTGGAAAGCAGTTCTACTTCATGTTCTATGTAATATCTCAGATATTTTAAGGCTCTTTCCCCTCCCCCAAATCTTGACCATTTGTTTCTACCAGTTTAAATGTGTAATAATTTCTTTTTCTGTAAGTAGTTTCACATCATGACTTAGTTGCAGCAAATGTTAGTGTTAACATAAATCTGTGTTAATATTCCAAGTTTAGTAATTGTTGAAAGAACCCCAAAACAACAGAAGATCTTGAGATAGACATCTAAAATAATTATTTAAGTCATTGTACATATATTGTTGCTTTTCATGATAATGAAATAAACTAGCCTCCTAACTACAAAATATCTTCTTGCCTATTTTGACATTTCCTTTAAAGTAATTTAATCATTCAAAATTAGATTATCTGTACACTAATTGAATTATCCAGGTGAGTGAGACTATAACATTGATGCAAGATGCAATATCGTCATGCTACTATATAATTCTTGGCTTTTTCACTGAGAGGGGAAAATGCAAAGGCAGAACCAAACAAGTAATAAAGAAAATTATTAGTCTATATGGATTAATCATTAAATTCTAGGCAGTGTGGATAGTGTGTAATACTGGTCTGTTGCATGATTGGGAATCATATTCTGTGCTATTAATTAGCATTATGATTTTAACTGGGTTTTGAATTTTTTTAAAGAAAACTACACTATTTTCTTGAAATTACCTTTAACAATTTTATGCTATTCAGTTGTATTTAGGTTAATAATAACTAATACTTTTTTCTGTCTCTTTGCAGGTGGTATGGTCAAGAAAAAGATTACAATGTTCTAGTCATGGATCTTCTTGGACCTAGTCTTGAAGATCTGTTCAACTTCTGTTCTCGTAGGTTCACAATGAAAACAGTACTTATGTTAGCAGACCAGGTATGTAAATTCTGCAAATACTCTGCTTGGGAGTACTAGAAGTTCCCTAAAGTGTAGTTTGCTTTGTGTTTTCAAATACATATAAAGTTTACTGGCTTTATAATGTCTGTACTCAAATGAGTATTTGAGTCAGATAGACTGAAAAAATAATATGAATGGGAGATTATCACAAGATTAGCACAAGATTTGTTGGCCAAATCATGAAATACAGAGTATATTATTTCATACTTAACATTGTTTGTTGTCTTTATTAAATCTTAAATTCAAAAAAATAGTTGCAATAATTTTATGTGATATCTCTTCTTGTTTTTATAAAAGTTTTAAGAGTTTTGAAAAGAAAATTTAATAAGAACTAATATAAATGAAAGAAAGGAAAAGATGCAAATGCAAAAGGAAGAAAAGGAAAAGGAAGTACGTTCTGATTTTCATTACAGCAAATATAAGTAAAACTACAAAATTACCTTTTACTCAGTGGTTATAAAGCTGGTTTTTTTTTCTGTTTTGTGCAAATGAATATAGGTGGTTTCCAGTCAGCAATAAATGTAGATAAAAAGAAAGGAAAAGCCTTGCCTTGTTCTTTGTTGTATCTCACTTGGTTTGTTAGAACTCCATTAGCATATATTGCATACCATGTTGTGCCAAAATGCTTTTGTGGCTGTAACTGCCAAATGAAAGATGGTAAATTGAAGCAATGTTAAAAAAGAAAAAATAACCACAATTTTCATTCAGTCCTTCAATGAAGCATATTGGCATAAAGATTCAAGTATGAGAGTATAATGCAAACATTTCAAAGATACTGTATTACAGGTATTACAGAAGAATACCTGTTGAACAGCAGTTTTTCTGCTGTTAATATTTCATTCTTTCTGAATGAATCCAGTCAGAAATATGCTTTGCTTTAAAAAAAAAGCAGCCCTCATTTTCTATGGGAAAACAAGATTGCTATTATGCTACCAAGTTTAATCATATTATTTTGAGGATGAGAGTTGGAAGAATAGTTGCAGAGTTGAGAATAGGAGAATGCATGCAGGCTACAGATGCGCCTATTTTAAAAATTCTCTAGTAGGTCTATGGAAGTGTATTGATCATTTAACATGAAACAGTTACTAAAAGAAATTTAAGTTTTTTTAATATAGAACAGTACATAGACTATACATGAATGACATAACTTGTTTTTCTATGGTCAATAATATGAATGCATATGTTGTACATAACAAAGACTCAAAATGATTAAAGGATTTTATGCAGAGAAACAATGTTTTAGTTCTATAGAATAAACAGGATAGCTCTTAATGTATATTTGTTTTATATTCTGCTTTTATATTTGAGCACATATCCAAGAATGCTGACAAGAAATATAGACACATTTTGCAATCCTGAAAGTTAAAACACATAAAAATTAATAAATTAACAGTTAAAGTCTAGCAAAACGTTTCAGTGGATTTTTTTAAATGTAGGCCATGAAGCAATATAGAACACTCTCTTTCATGCATCAAATAGATATTTAAGAGCTTCTTCAGAAGAGCCTATTCAGCAGATTTCATTGGAAAGACAGGATAATCATCAGCTCTTTCAGGACTTTTAAAGATGTCAAGAATGTGAATAATAGACATCTCTGGAGAGAACTGGAATTTTTCTCTTTCTTTGGATTGCACCAGATCTAGATATAATCCAAACTTAGTTTGTTAAGAACAGCATAAACTACTTCCAGTTCACCAGAAAACTGTTGGACTGAATTGAGATTGGTGTAATCCGGAGGAACAGCATATTAAGAGCAACCGTGTTCTTTTCGCTGATGATGTAAAGCTATTCAACACCACCAACAATACTGCTACCCTTCAAAAAGACCTCGACTATGTATCAGAATGGTCAAACAAATGGCAATTTCAAATCTCAACAAATATGTCTTACATATTGGCAAAAAAAAATATCAGAAAATAAAATACAAGCTGAACAGTCAAGATCTTGTTGATGATCCAAACTCTGTCAAGGACCTTGGAGTACTCATCTCTAATGATCTAAGTGCTTGATCCCACTGTAACTACATAGACAAAAAGGCATTAAGAGTTGTTAACCCAATCCTACATAACTTTTTCTCTGTTAATATCACACTATTAACTAGAGCATACAAAACATTTGCTAGACCAATACTTGAGTACAGCTCATCAGTCTGGGACACACATTAGATATCTGATATTAATACAGTTGAGAAAGTCCAGAAATATTTCACAGGAAGAGTTCTCCACAATTCTACTCGCAGAATACCTTATGCCACCAGACTTGAAATTCTAGACCTAGAAAACCTAGAACTATGCTGCATTCTGTCCAATCTAAATATAGTATATAAAATTATATATTGTAATGTCCTACCTGTCAATGAATACTTCAGCTTCAACCATAACAATACAAGAGCACACAACAGATACAAACTCAAGGTAAACTGCACCAAACTTGATTGCAGGAAATATGACTTCAGCTACAGACTGGTTAATGTCTGGAATACTCTACCTGACTCTGTGGTTTCTTCCCCAAATCCCAAAAACTTCAACCTTAGACTGTCTACTATTGACCTCACCCCTTTCCTAAGAGGTCTTTGGGGGCATTAATAAGCGCACCAACATGCCTACCGTCCCTGTCCTATTGTTTCTTTTTATTTTTCTTATATTCATTTCGTGTACTCATAGCTATGTTATACCTGTTATCTTATAATCGCTTGACAAAATAAATAAAATAAAGAATAAAATAAAACAGCAGGGTTCAGAGCTGCCTGAATATTCCATTTTCTTAGTGTAGATTTTGTACATGTCTGATTAATATTAATAGCTTAAACTGCATTTAGTAAGCAAACAGCAACCAATAAACATATTTCAATCTTGACATCATGTGATCCCTGTACTTTGCAGCATTGTACTAATTACAGCTTCTGGGCAATGTTCAAAAATGGCCGTAATGGGGGAAAAGAATCAGTGGTCATAATAGGAAGTAACATAGATATCCACCAAGAGATAGATAGGTGGATGGATGGATGGATTACAGTTAGACCAGCAACTGTAATTGTATAAATGCACTCTTGTCATGGTCTGTGAGAATAACCTTGAAAGACGAGAGCAAAAGGCACAGCCTTGACAACTATCATGCAAAAGATATCTCAGCCCACAGAAGGAAAGAGGGCAGGCGAAGACTCTCAGAAGGGACCCACCCTAGAAAGTAAAAGTAATAGGGGAGAAGTGCTTTCCAAATTGTAAGGTTATGTTATTATAACCTTACAGAAAAGGTGTTGGTACTCATCTACCACATTATTGGAATGTGGTATGCTTCAAAGGTACAGAATGGTTCTTGGAATTGAATGGTTAAGCAATGATTGGACTCCATTCAATTTCTTATTTAAACAATCCAGAAACTATTGCCAAAGCCTGTCATATACAAGGATAATCCAGTAACACCATGTTTTAGGAAAGAATAAGTACCTCTTGAAATTTGACATTAGGGTCTGCCTGATTGATTTGCTAAACCAAGAGAAGCAAGATTTAAATATATTTTGTGAACATGATATTTACAAACCACAGAGAATCCATAATAAAAAAGAACATTTGGTACAGTTGAGGGCCATGAAATGGATGGGATCATAATGCTTATGTTCATAAGGCAAAATTTTGAGGGAGGTTTGGAAACTTGAATCTTTCATTTCAAAATGGTAGGAAGCTGCACTATTTGCTGTAGTCATGATGAGAGAGGGCAAAAGAGTCACATGTTTATCCTTGCTACGGACTATGCCCACCAGTCCTATCCCATAAATGCCTCTTCCGTCAGCTAAGTCTCAATAATGCATATCAAATCAGTGCTTTGAATGAAATTCAGTTCTGGATAATAAATGCTTAAGCAACAACAGATATGTGACACTGAAGAGTTGGATATTTTCTTTAGAAAATTGTCTTCATTGTCACCTTGATCTCTTTGGGTAGATGATAATCTGAAAAGAAGCCCATTGTCCAATACATATAATAAAATTGGAGTTCTTATACCTTTTCTTACTAGCTATTACTTTGAGTATGCATGCATCCATGCCATTTCCCAGTCTTAATTTTTCCTGTATCTGCCTAATGGAATTCATACTAGCTCTGATTTGTTTGTTTATTAAATGTATGTTGCCCCCTACTTGCACATGGTGGCTGATAGAACTAACAGCCTAAATACCCACATTAACAGCTCTGCTCCATCCTAGTTCCAACATAACTTTCACACTGAGTTAAGCTTCCTCTACAGTAGCTATGCTGGCTGGAGAATTCTGGGAGTTGAAGTCCACAAGTCTTAAAGTTGCCAAGTTTGGGGACCCTTGCTCTATAGCAAGGTTTGTTTGTAGCATCGGACTCAGACATCTGATACAATACTAGACAGATGGTTTTTGCAAAGTGCCCAGAGTGAAAATAACTGATTTTGTGGGAAAGCTGTTTTCCACAGGAAGGTATTAGACTAATGTATAGGCCAGGGGTCCCCAAACTTGGCAACTCTTAAGACTTATGGACTTCAACTCCCAGAATTCTCCAGCCAGTATGGATAAGATAGTGTCCCTTTTCTCATTATATGATATTGAAAAGCATTCATTTACAAAATATTGAGTCAGTTTATTAACTGGTTTAAATTATTTTCAGGTAATAGGATTGATGCAAACACTTTTGAATTATTATTGAAATCATATCTGAAATGCTTTTAAATTTGACCAATTTTCTTGTTTACAGATGATCAGTAGAATTGAATATGTGCATACAAAGAATTTTATACACAGAGACATTAAACCAGATAACTTTCTAATGGGTATCGGACGTCACTGTAATAAGGTTAGTCTAATACTTTGTTTGCATGAAAAAAGTTATCATAAAATACAGTTTATTGAAAAGTTGTGCTGCTTGAGTTAGCTATTGGTTAATAGTATTTATCGAGATGAGATTTTAAGTCATACTACTGCACGCAAATCATATGATCTCAGCCTTTGTTCAGACCTTAATTAAGGAAATCGGTATGTTATATAGCCTATATTTCTTTGCATACTTAAGTTCCTTCTATATAAATATCCTATTATTCAAAATCAATGCATTACAGTAGCACAGCTTGCCATAAACTGTGATTTTGTATTGTTTGCTGTATTTACTAGCATGGTGGATCTTGACTTCCAGTTACCTAGATTTTAATTGAGTAGAATCAACTTATAAAGAAATTGGATTGTAATACTGCAGAGCTTTGTTTATGCAACTGTGTTCTGTGCAATCACAAGCCTGTGGAAGTTCAGAATGCAGTTAATGGGTAGGTATAGGTTAACATTTGCTTACTGAATTTTAATATTTTATTGGATTTTAAGTGGGGGTAGAAGGGGATGATAGAAATTGAGCTGGAAATGCATGTTTTCTTTTGAAACTTTTGGTTGGAAATATTCTTGGCTAGCTTGTGAGTAAACTTTGTGATACTTTACACTGAGCTCGAGCAGACAGGCAGCATTGGCAATGCATTTAAGCATGCTGTGAAATAGAAATTCTGAAGTTTGGGGAAATGTATGTGAACTGAATCTATATTGGCAGAAACATTCCCATACAGATTGGTTCTTCATAAGCCATCAGTGTTTACCTTTTTGATATTTTTAGCTATAAAATGTTACCTTTGTTTGCCTGTATGAATGCCAACTTGGAGCCATTACTTGAGAGCAAAATCAAACCAACAACCAACCACCTGTTGAATTCTGCTTTAAAGGCGTTCAGTGAAGCATTAAACAACTTTGGGGAGTTGGAGTGAGAAGAAATTGCAAAAGTCAAATTTAAAAGACACTGTCAGTCCTATTTCTATTGAACTTTATCTCTAAATTTCACATTCTTGTTTCTTTAATACAGTCCTTTAATTATCTGACAAGAACTGGAAGTACAATTAGAAAAAAATTAAACCAGTCTTGATTTGATATTTCCTCTCTTTGGGGGCCATTTCTCCATATACTTTGACAGTTATAGTGAGCTGGCATTGCAACATTTTATTTGTTTTCTTATGTGGAAATGTCTGAAAAATGTTGTGCTTTGTTAGGTGACTGATAGTGTCACGTTGGATGATGTAAAAAAAGGACGACATTTTTCAGTCCTAGCAGCCATTTAGATAAGAGTGACAAGCATTAATTTTTAGATACCCATTCGATGTTACAAATAATCCTATACATAAGATTATAACCCCCTTTGTTTAATCCACACAGAATTTAAAGCTTTAAAAGTGTGAAATCAGCAGTTTCTTTAAACATTGATATGGTTTAAAGTTTTCATCCTTTTACCAAAAATACAGATGGATTTTATATCACATGTCTATTGTTTTATAAGACACATGGTATTTAGTGATGAGGCTGTTTTGTTAATCATGTTCCAATAAATTGGGTTGATAATAAACTAAAATATAGGAATTGGAATGCTTTATTTCTAAAATTTATTTTTAAATGTTATGTGTTAGGAATTGTCTTATTCCTAATATATGATCTTCTTTGAGCCTCTCCTACAATAAGCCCTGCATGCTTACGAAAGTGAATTTAAGGTGACTAAATGCCTTCTACCTCTTCCTTACTGAAGATTTATTTCCCACATGTTGTTTGGGGGAAGGGCAGTACATATGTAAAAGCCAAAATTTCTTTTTATTAAGCCAAATATTGCCATTGCTATCCCTGTTCAAGGCAGTGTCATTTTAAAGTGGCATGCTCAAATTTATCTTGCCACGTCTAAATTTTTTCTGTATCATACGATTCTCCATTGGAAAACTGTAGTGCTTGGTGGAAGAAGGATGGCATTTGGCTACCCTGTTCTTTCTCTAACGCCTCGGTGTTGCCTGTCTGCGCCAGCCATTGTTGCAATGTAAGCAATACTGTTTGATGCACTGCCACCCTCTATTGTTTGTTCAGTGTTTAGAATCTCCAGTGGGGAAGAGGAAAAGAAGCATGACTGTTAGTACTTCTCAGGACCCATCTTTCTCAGGATTAAACCAGGTCTGAAACTGTCTATTCCAACCTCAATCCCAACTCATATGCATTTTATTTTATTTCGGAAAACATGTAGATTTGCAAAAAGCACCTTATGTTGGCATTATTCAGACATACTTGGCAAACATGTAACATTACTAAGCGCCTGTTGTAAGATATCTTCTTTTATCCATGTTAATATTGTTAAGGATAATGGCCCAAACTTTGTATTAACCCTAGAAGAATAGCTTTGAGTTCTAAAATATGACAAAGGAGGATATAGAATGTATTGTGAAGAATTAGAGATGCCTGTGTATGCCCGGTCTGTTAGTAGGTCTTGATGAGATTTGTCTCCCTTTTCATTAATGTGATCAGTATGTTTAGGAAAAATGCATTTTGGATGGGGAGAATCGAGACTTACTATACTTTCTCCAAAGAACATGCTTTGTTTCCAGCAGTAAATTTAAAACAAAAGAAATTGAGTATAGATCAAGAAACTAAGGTAATTGTATCTTATTAAAAATTTACCAAATTTTAGTTAGTGATTTCTGAGCTCCTTAAACAGCTGTTTATTAAACATGAATTTTGCTATGATACTTTGGGCCCATGAATTTAGAAATGTGGCAATTGGAATAGGTTTCATTACATGCAGCTTCCTTTTATGCTGTGTTGTGGCTCCAATTACAGTATCTATCTAATTTACAATATTGGAACTTTTTCAAACTTCAGTATAGCCCCAGACTCCGTTTTAGGATTTCATAATATATCTCTTTGCATAGGAGGAGAATATTAGGAGACTGGTCTCAGTTGTCGTAGGAGTTTGCTATTTACAGAAGAACAAGAGATTAAACAAGTCAGCTGTTTGAACTGGATTGCTTAATCATGGTTTATTTCCATGCATGATCCTTAGTTTGTATTTAATAAAATAGTTTTTTGAAAAACTGAACCTGAAGTGAAACAAACCTTAAAAAAATAAAGTTGGCTGAAGTCCTTTTCTTTATTGTGGGGGTGGGGGGTGGGGTGAGATACAAGGCAGAAAGGAGACTCACTGAGTTATTAAGAACCACTTGGTTTGATCTGGTCATGGCAGAAATGTTTTAGTATCACATAATAATTGAGCCAGTGTGAAGACTGTGTCTGTCCTATGCTAATTAACAGGAAGTGACACTTGTTCTAAAATTGATTTAGCTAAATATAAAATAGATATATTTTGTACTATGAATAACAATATCCTTTTTGTGTTAAAATGTGCTATCTTGGAGAATAAAATAGTACAAATAAGAGCCTTTATTCCAGTGGAAATAGCAGAAGCACTTTGCCAGTTTCAGATTGGAACCATTGAATTTCCCTTCCATCATTCCAGTTCTGACTGGCTTTCCTTATTTATTCTGAAACTAAATCAGCAAGATTCATGCAGGCTTTCATGGGGGATGGAGGAGTAAATTAGGAAGATGTGAAGGCAGTAGCTTGGAGAAGTGTGGTTTATTGGGTGGAATAGTATTATATTTAATCTCAAAAGTAATATCCTCACTTGTCAACCAAAGCAATTTAAGAGAGAGTATTATTATGTTGCTAGGTAACTTTGCTCCCTAGCATTTTCCCCAGTAATGAAGCATGGCTTTGGTGTCTTGAGATTGTAAGAATATATTATCATGGAAAAGTTACATGGCAGAGTTGTTTTGGTTTATCTGGAGTAATCATTCTGCCCAATGCTTTATAAGAGTGTGGCATTTCTATACCTTGCATTTGTCCAAATCAGAACAGAGAAAAAGAAAATAAATATTTGAAAATTATATTGTCAACCTCTTTTATAATACTTTTAAAAAACCATGTCTTTCCCACTTTGTGCTAATAAAGAGAAGGATCTCATAAAATACTAATTGGCCTAATAATATTTCAACTTTATAAGGTTTACTTATTTAAATCAACTAGGCATTGTGTGCTTTGTACTGTTTTCAGATCATCTATCATAGATGGTTTAAGTATCATCCATCTACATTCACCTATAACATAAACACAAGTGTTCGGTTAACTTTAAATCAGGAGTTAACAGCGACACACCAGGATAGCACTCATTGATCTTCAAAATTAATACTTTTAAGATTGAGCAAAATCTCATGGGATACCCAAATTAGTTTTCATGGTTGAGATCTCAGTAAATATTAAAAATAAGTTCTCTTAGAGAAATGTTGGTGTGTGATGATGCCTGTTGACCCTGATTTAAATATTGTCTGTCTTCCTCTCATTGAGTCTAAACTTCTTTAGTATGGCAAATTGTAAAGGCCCAACAACTATTTATTTACTTGTTTGTTTATTAAACATGCTTACAATAAATTGTTCCTTAGACATTAGTAACCTGAACATCTGTTAAATTATTGTTTTCAGTTGTTTTCTAAATTTTATTCATGTCAATTATTTTGTGCTTTTATTTTAAGAAACTTTTTTTAAAAAACTTTTTTTCCTGTATTAGCTTTAGATATTTTGCAATGTATAGGAATTACTAGGAGTTTTAGTACACTTCCTAAAATGGACTAGGCTAAACTCTTAAAAATTATCTTACTCCATTAATCGAGTCTTAGTTTTCTATAGAACAAAACTGATATTTTTAATTGGACAATTTATTTATTATAATTTTAATCTGTCACATCCAACAACCCCCAGATTATTGGTAACTGAACATTTTAATTAAATGTAATGATATTTTAATTAGTAAAATATAAAATTATTCTGTGACAGTTTGATCTTGAATGCACATATTCAAATATTTTTTGATAATATGAAAGAATGTGTCAGCATAGTAAAAACAAATTATAGCAGTAAGTGGCAGAAAAGCAAAATTACTTGAAATTAACTAAACAGTTTCATAAAATTGGCCTTTCCCCCCTTTTTTTGTCATGTATATAATAATAGGAAAATGTTATATTTATGTGGCCTAGCTTTATTTAATTATTTATTTTACCATATTTTAATTATCTCCAGTCCTTAGAGTCTCTTTAGTGGCACGCCAACATATAGAACATTCATAAGAAAGTAATACAATTCACAGTTTTTGCAGTAAAACTCAAATTGAATAATTTTATTTGTTTTTTTCCGAGTAGATGTGAAAGTTTAGGTCCATTTTATATTTTATTTTCAAATAATAATTAAAAGTTGTGGTTTTGTTTCACTTGCCTTTAAATTACATTTGAATTTAATTTTGTTGCTTTGAATTATCTACTAAGCATATACTTAAAAGTTCTGTTGATATTTCAAAATGCCATCTGGAAATTTGAATCTATTTTATCTATTTTAAAGTTATTCCTTATTGACTTTGGGTTGGCCAAAAAGTACCGGGACAACAGAACGAGGCAACACATACCTTATAGAGAAGACAAAAATCTCACTGGTACAGCTAGATATGCAAGCATTAATGCACATCTTGGCATAGAACAGAGGTAAGTATTGAAGCAATTTCTGTAATTAGATTAGGAACTGTAAAAAGTTAAACTCTAGAAATGTCTGGATTGATTCTAATGCCTCTTAGCAATTGTCAGATAAAGAGGCTGAGATTATAATTTAGTAGCATTGGGAAGACCACACATTTCTTACAGTATCATAATATTTGAGATATTGAATAGTTATTTAATGAAAAAAAAAGGAAAATTAATTTAAATGTAGAGCAAATATTTGCATTGTGTTGCTTCTAAACATCAACATATGCACGACAGATACATTTTTATCTATCCATCTTATATCTACCTACATGTTGCCTTAACCCGGGTGTCAAACTTGTTGGATGAGTCATGTGCTAGCCACCCCCACCCCTGGTTCAGTGAAGGGGGAAAAAGTTGTGATATGTCACATAATGACAACCTGACACCATGAGTTTCAGACCCCTGCTTTTAATAAGTAAAGTCATTTGATATAACTAGTTAACAGCAGAGCGAATACTGAAATATAGTACTTCTGGTGAAGTTAACTTTTATCTTAACAAATCAAGAGTTTTCATACACATTTTATAATATGTGAATCTATCTTTTTCTTCCTTCTGTGATAGTTTGTAATTTTTTTAATTGTATTCAACTTCTTTTAACATCGAACTTTTGGACTTAGCATGTTTTCTAATGCATTTGTTGGCATTGTAGTATCAGTCATTAAACATGAAAATCGGATTGTTTCTGGAATCAGTATTTTTAACATAAATTCTCAAAATTCATGTGGTTGAATTTAGCTTTTGAATGTTTTCAGTTATATAGAATAAGAATTAGAATTGTTCATAACAGTTTTGTTGTTATGTGCTTTGCTATTATGCCTACACAATTTTTATGCTTCCATGATCTCACTATTGTACTATTAATCAAGACAGATATGGGGCTCATGTAGCTTGTTTTACGCACAGTTGTTGACCAAAGTAGAAAATAACTGGAAAATAGAGGAAAATTATTTCAGCAGTCATTGTCCAAAGTTAATATTTTCTTTTGCATAAAATACATTTATTATAAAAATTTGCTTGATTATTATTTTATTCTCTCAGTACTCCACCCCCAAAATAAGCTAAAATTTAGAAGTTAACATGTGATATGGAGAAAAATAGCAAACTAAAAACTTGGATATGCCAGGAAATCTGGTGTGCGGTTTTCTGTAATAGTTAAGCAGTTTGCTAAAATTTGAAGTGCATTGCTGAATCATCTCTAAGAAAAACAAGAATTAGAAGAAATAAGATATGCATAATTTCACAGTTCTCCAAATAAGTTTGGTAAATCTTATTTATTACTGTTGCATATCAGTATGCACATTTTACTGACAGTTCATTTTCATAACTGTTGAGACCTGAGAAGTGATGCTATGCAATTTATGAATAAGCACATAAAACTTTTTTCCTCAGTCGTCGTGATGATATGGAGTCATTAGGATATGTATTGATGTACTTTAACAGAACCAGCCTGCCGTGGCAAGGATTAAAGGTACGTTAAAAACTTCATGCAGACTTGTAAAGATGATAATAAAATATTGGATGGACAAACACAATATTGTATATTTGTAATTCAGATACTATGGAATAGATAGAATCTCTGGCATGAGATGCCACCCTACGTATAAGTGGAAACTGAGTATGGTCTAGGGCTGCTTCTTTTATTTGTTTATTTCTGACAAATACTTTACAATTAGAAAAGATGCTCAGAGAGAGACATTAGGGGTGAGATAACCTTAAAGGACAATGTGCAGTTTGAATAATAATTTGGAAAAGTTATGGAAAAGTGTGTTCTGTCTAGAAAACTTTGCTTATCCTCAGGCCTTGCTCAAAGTACTACAGTCTCTCCATCTGCAGGATTGTGGATTGCGATTTAAAAACTGAGAGATATGCATGCACAGATGCATATTCATTCACACTCATTGAGATAATGTACAAGTGTGTGTGTGTGTGTGTGTGTGAAAGGTAGAAATCTGTTGGTACTTTCTCAAGAGGTTATATAATTTAGATGATGATTTTGAGTACATTGATGGTAGAAAGCAATTTGTGCTGGAAAAGTTAAGCTATCAGATGCAATCTAATACTAAGAGCATTATGACATTTCTATATTTACTCATAATCTGACTGTATAGGAAAAATACTAGAAATGGACATATAATATAATCCTTTCATGAGCTGGTTAGGTTGCAGTGAAGCATGTAAGAAAGATTTTTATTCTTTTTGCAGTGAATTCTGGAACTTGGTAATTTCCTTTAGATCTATGATAATAAAAAAATAATATTGTTCCATATTTTTACAGGCAGCAACAAAGAAGCAGAAATATGAAAAGATTAGTGAAAAGAAGATGTCTACTCCTGTTGAAGTTTTGTGTAAGGTACAACTGTTTTAAAAACTTTCAAGTTTTTGATAATCATATTTTCTTTTGTAAATAAGCCAATAATTTTGGAAGGTATAATTAATATTATATAGATGTTTAACTTCATGTGCTAGTGGAATTGTCTTTACAGTAGTTATAACTGATCTATCTTTAATTTTTAATGTCAATTTTTCTTTCTTTTTTTCCGTTATTTCCCATTTTCCAAAAAAAAGAAAAAGAGAACAAATATAGAACTGAAATTCTTAATATAAAAATTGTGGGGATTCTGCCTCCAACTCTTGTTTTGATTTTTTCTGTTTACAGGGATTTCCTGCAGAATTTGCAATGTACCTGAACTACTGCCGTGGCCTGCGCTTTGAAGAAGCTCCTGATTATATGTACCTGAGGCAGCTATTCCGTATCCTTTTCAGGTTGGTCTTGTAGGATACTTTGTGAATATTCAAACAGAACAGTTTAACAACAGTATGTTGTTCACATGGTTAGCTACATAACACTCTTACCTTTCTACAAGTTTGGCTGAAAATATAAAAATACTAAAAAGAGATTTAGTTATACTAGAAATAGATTTCATTGGGAAGAGGTCCTTTCCTGATACTGTGTCAAAATGATTTTTTGTCTCGGTAGCTCACCTCTCATTGCACTGTGATGTCTGTTTTATGATTGGCTATTAATCAGGTCAGCCATTTTGTAAATAAGCAAGCTGTACTCTGTAACAATCATTTTAGGAAGTATTTTCTTTTGTCCACAAATGTTGGTTACATCATAATTTAGTCAATTCAACATAAGCTACACTTGAAATTAGTACTGTGCTGTAACTGTTAGTGATTCTATTTTTTTGCAGTGCTGAATTTACTCAAAATTAATGTTGACTGCAGAGGAGGTTAAAGTGAATGATCAAGAGCACAATAGTCATACGTGGTCATTTGCAGAATTGCAGAAGTTTATCCATGCACTTACTGCAGGGTTCAACTACAAAAAAATGGAGATGAAGATCAGTATTTCCCTTTCCCCTATTAACCAGTTTGAAGGGCAATACACTTTATGCATGGGACTCTTTCCACTCGAGCCAAAACTTCTGTACTTTTTTAGAAGTACAGAGGACTTTGAAAGTTACTGCAAGCAGATTTCAATTATTAACCACAGCCCTGCATAATGTTCAGTGTTTTACAAAATGCTACATTTTGAATGCCAGTTAAACCTGCTTGTGCAACAGCAATTCAAGTATTTCAGTGATGGTTTTCTTACTTTTTAAATTGTACCCTCTGTAGGACCCTGAATCATCAATACGACTACACATTTGACTGGACAATGTTAAAGCAGAAAGCCGCACAGCAGGCAGCCTCTTCCAGTGGGCAGGGGCAGCAAACCCAAACCCCCACAGGCAAGCAAACTGACAAATCCAAGAATAACATGAAAGGTTAGTAGCCAAGAACCAAGTGACGTTACAGACCAAAAATGATAAACACTAATTTGGATCCTGTTGGTGATACGTGTTAGCTCAAGGAGGTCATTAAAAACACTTATTTGGCTATTTAGTATTTAAAAAACGGACGTCCTTGGAATATTTGACTACTAACTTTAAACCAAGTGTCCTTGTTTTCATATCATTTCTTTGGGTATGTTGGGTCATTTTAACCACTGCATCTTCTGCTCCCTCATTAACCCCTCTTCAAAATAAGCTGGCTTGGTGTTGGGAATGAACCAGAATCCTGGACCTAACATTTTAAAGAAGAAATTTTCTATTAATTTTTGTATTGGGCCGGTATAGGTGCGGCTTTGGTGTGGGTTTATTTGGAGGGGGAAAAAACCCAAGTGGTAAACATTTCTTTGAATATATTCCTCCTCCCTTCCACCCCCGTAAATGACACCAATTTTACTACAGAGAATCTAAGAAGGCAGCATGTATATTATTATTAATTGGGGTACTTCTTTAAAAAAATAGGACATAGATAGCTTCAGTATGATGATAGTCTGTATTCTCAGAGTAGTGTAGCTAACAATACTGCAGGAAGACAAAGAGTTCCCATGTTAATGCACAAACATAGTCAAACGTTTCTTATCCCTTCCTCAGTAAAAGACAAAGGCAATGATCAGAGGATTTAGGAGGAGTGGGTTAAATTTAGGCAGAATCTATCAAATATTTGCATATATGAGGGATGGGGAGAGAAATAGAAAGTAAACAAATTTAACTTAAATCACTCCTACATTCCTGGGGGATCTGTTTCTAATTTTAATTATAGATTGTTTGAGATTTATTGGCAAAATAATAAAAGAAGCAACTTCCTATGGCAGAAGGCAGTAAATAGTTCACATTTGGGAATATGTTAATTATGTTTCTATATCTGTAAATAAGATGGGCAAGCACACAAAATGCAAACAATGTAACAAAGAAATGCAAGCCCTGAGTGTCCAAATGAAACACCATGAGGCTTGGTCCTCTTTGAAGACAACTGGAAAGCAAAAGTAGTCAAGTCTGCACGTGCAAGATCTTCAGGTCAGTAAATGCTATTGTCATAATTTTGAAAAATTGAAACTGTTTACTTTTCTTTGCTTTGAGGTTGGTTTAAATTTTTGAATTATGTATTAATAAAACCAATCAGTACTTCAACATTTATTTAATTGAAATAAAAAGATGGACATACCTTTTAGAAGTATACATTATTAGTGTATATAACAAAGAATATGATTAAAAGAGCACAGTACTAATGATGCTTTTTTTTATTTAGGAGAATCTATACAGGACTCTGATAACTAACTGCACACATCATTTTCAATCATCAGTGCCTACCATTTTAGAATTACCTGATTAATAATGTTTCAATTACATCAAATATGTCAGAAAAATATTTGAAAAAGGAAACGTTTAGCTGAAAAAAGAAGAACAAAAATCTACTATCCACAAATAGGCAAAGATAAATTTATGATAACAGATTACAGGTAATTGATGAAACAGTGTCCTTTTTATGCAGCAGAGTCTGTTTTTCTTATGGATGAGAACACGTCGTTGATACAACATAGTCTCTTTGCCAGGATGCAGTCCATCAGAGCAAAACAAAGATCATAAAGAAATTATTGGATAAAACGTACAAAAAGAAAATCGAAAAGTTTTCAAATCTAGAAGGAACCACTGTTGTTTGAACTATGTGACCATATTCACAATAATCCAATCACGTATGTTTTTGAATCAACAGGAAAAGACAATTGCTTCCTTAAATTATTTTTTATATATATATATATATATATATATTTGAATGCTTGAAAGAATTCCGAACTGTAAAAATATTTTTATTAAAAGGCTAATATGCATTTTTGTCATAATGATATGAAGATATCAGGATGAGAAGAAATACAGAAATCAAGAAGACCAAAACTAATAAAATATCACTACAGTGCTTAGTTGGAATATCCTTTAGTTGTTCCAGAAGTAAGGATAATAATGCTGAAATTGCAAAACATAACTACAATGATAATTTGGCAACAGCTGTTCTGTAAGCAAGAGGACTTGATTCAACCACAAGCTATTCAGTAATTCTAGTTAGTAAATATTGAGCAGACAAAAGTACAGATTGAAAAATTGTAGCCATTTTTTTTTTAAAGATGGGGCTAAAGCAAACCTACAAACTTATGCAGTCTTCCCTTGATCCTATTCCCTTAGCTCTTTCAACTAAATGCAGAAAAAAAAAATGTTTAATTTTGGCTGTTTTGTTGAAATGTGAAAGGAATTGAACAAGATTTTAAATTAAATTTTCCAATGACACGAGTTAAATGCAGATCTTAACATGAAGTATTTCCAACTCATTTTCTTGTAAGTATTTTCAGTATTCAATGTTGGAGAAATATTTTTAAAGAAGAATGGTTATGATAGGGATAGCCAGCAATAACCGATCAAAATATACTAATTATACTTAATTTCATGCCTAGTCAGAGCTATTTAAGGAACATTTTTCTTTAAAAGTTTTAAAAGCAATATTCCTGCATTTGATTTCATATTACTGAAATGATAATGCAGTTATCTAACAACAGTATCCTCTTTGGACTATTAAAGAAAAGTCTTCTTTCTTTGCATTCATTTTAAATTCAGAAGTAATTTGGGATTTGAAAAGAAGAAAGATTTTGGGATTTGAAAAGAAGAAAGATTTTTTTTCCAGTTTATGAATCATGAGAGTTAAAGAATTTGTTTTCACTTGGTTGAAATTCCCTATTTTACTTGTTTAAAGCAGAATTTTATGTGTATAGCTAACTCTTCAGAGAGATATTACTTAAACACTATTTGAATTTATTGAAAACCAGAACAAAACAAGTTAATTGATACCGCCTAAATTGTAGGTAGTAGTGGTAGTAGATATTTGCCTAGTAACTATGCAAAAAAAAAATCCTCTCAGATGCCACAAATTAATCAAGAAACATCTGTCTTGGAGGAGGGGAAATGGGGAAAGAGAAGTGAAGAGGAGGAGGAAATGTGTTTCCACCAGTGGAGTTGCAAATGGAAGGGGATCAGTTTGGGGAAGATTATATTGGAGAAGGGCTGGAGTTGGAGACTGATTGAGATCTTATTAGGCAGGAAAAAGTGTTACATAAAATGAATATTACAATATTTATATCTTGGGGAGGGAGTTGATGGTAGAAAGCGTGGAAGTGCATGTAGTTCTCGACTTACGGCCACAATTGAGCTTGGAATTTTGATCATAAGTCTCAATCTTGCCACTGTAATACTGCCTCAGGGAATGCAGGAGGCCCAGTATCCCCCTGCATGCAGAAACTTGCCACAGGACCAGAAGCATCAGTCGTCTAGGCCTGACAAAATGCGGACCCTTCTCCCTGCCACCACTTCTAGGTTCACTTTTCTGTCACCTCACTTCATTCTGCATGTGGGTCATATTCTCATGGTTCAGAAAGTTCCTTCTCCAAATGGTGCAATTTGGAGACGAGTCTTCCAAGTCATCCTAAGAATGATGGTGTTTACTAGTTTTTTCTCTTCCAAAGAGGAAAACGCTAGCAAGGCTGGCGTTCTAAAAGGCTCTGAAGTTGCAACATTTTGAAATCTAATATATGTTATACAACTCAAATTGTATAAATCCATCTTTCATATATATTCCAGCTCATAATCCTGGATATATATATATATATATTTGTAGGTGGGGGGGAATGCCATTTTTGGTTGGTTGGGTTTTTTTTTTGTTTTTGTGAACAGAATGCCAGTAATACACCAGAAAATATAGTTCTCCAGTAGAACACCTTTCTTGATAACTATATGTTAAAAAGGACAAATGATGTTTCCTATTATATAATGTTATACACACAGTCAGACTTCTATTATGGCAGAGGCACAAAGGCTATAGAAAAATCCCATTGGAATTTTGAATTAGGGCAGATTAATACGACAGTGTGATATAAAGGAATTCTGATAATAGGAATAATAGAACAGAGTTATATTAAAAGCTTTTTAAATACAAAGCATTAATTTACAATTGCTAATTCAGTGGGTAGTTCAGACTTTTTGCTCATTTATAATTTATTCATCCAAGGACAAGAAATAAGATGGGAGATGAAAAAAGCTGTTTGTATACTATATTAATGAGAATTGCTAACTAAAAATGTTGGAACAACACTAATATAATCCACTTGAAATAGTTAATTTAAAAACCTTAATTTTCTTTACAGTATCTCTTTACGTATAGTATACCTTGATGGTACAGATAGTCCTCAAGTTAGGGCCACAGTTGAGCCCAAAATTTCTGTTGCTAACCGAAACAATTGTTAAATGAACTGCTGTAAATCGAGGACTGCCTGTAGTTGATTGGATGCAGATTTACCTATTAAATGAATAATATATCCAGAAAAACTCTGATAACGATCTTAATACTAAAGTTAATTTTAGTTGCCAGTCTGCAAATCATCACTCTTTTTTACAGGACTGCATTCAAATGGAGTAGCTGGAATAATCAAAACGTTAAGTTTATCCTCATTTTTGTATTTTGTAAGGTATTAGCAGTTGTAGCATTATGATTGTGTATTCCTTTCCAGACTTGTGCATTCTGTACTGTTTTGCAACTTTGCTTTAAACACTTGGACTTTTCATCTGCTGTAAGAAATGGTTTCATCACCCTTTATTGAACTTAGTAATTGCTCTGACCACAGTATTCTTTTCTGTAAAATACCAGTGTAATAGGTACTGAACTTACTAGATGCAGTGGCATGTATAGTTTTGGAGGAGGATATAGTTGATTTTTTCTATTTCTCTAATATTTATTTTGGCTCAGTATGCAGTGTAGCTGCCAGAGTGTAGCTGGGCAAGATGGTCATGGAAACATCCATACCTGATTTTCCAAACAAATGATTTTTTGGGGGGGTGGGGGGTGGGGGGGGGAGGCTGGGACATTGGTATCCTAGATACAGTGCTTATGTTCATTTTTTTGTATCTATGTGATAACCAACTTAAGTTGTTGGAAAGTGCCTAACTCATATCTGGAAAAGATAGAATTTAATAAAGGATGTAGCCTACATTTGAAATGTATTTTACAAGTACAGTCGAGTGGAAAGTGAGGCAGTATTGTTAAATTGCAGTTTCTTCAGACTGCCCTTAAAAACATGTGTTTGAACTGCCCTTAAAAATGTGTTTGTGGGTAGAGAATCCTGGGCTGATATGAAGTCTCTATTTCAAATATTTCTCAGTCAATATGGTTGGGTGGGTGAGGTGTTTAAAAATTTGCTCTGAGGCCACTCATGATTTTTTTCTTTTTTATACTTTTTATACTTTCTAAGCTGGGAGTCCCCCAGAGTAGACCTCTAAATTGTACAGATAAATTAAATCTTCCAATTATAAAGAGGATTCTACTTGAGGTAAAAGTTGACTCAGTGGAAAAAGACTAGAGACAGTCAAGTATTTTATTTCTGCATGAGTGAAAAAAAAATGAACTCGCTCCTTGTTTTTTTCAAAGCCTTCACAGCCTTGATATGAATGCAGAACATTCTTTAGAAATCATTCTTAAAAGCATCATCTAACATTTCTTTATTAAACACTTTCTGCTGGGTAGGTCAACATTCAGTTTAACAAACATAGCAAAGAATAGATGACAGCTTTAATTGAATGTTAGTGTTACATAGAAAAAGATAACCATAAAATTTGGAAAAGATGGGAAAAGTTGTAATGTATTTTCCAGACACATTTGTCCAAGGCATCCTTATAGACTGAAATATATAGATATGACTTACTCCCATAATTCCAGTGGTCAGAAGATATTTTCATCCTGTTGCTTTTGCCATTGAGATTGTAGCTCTTTAATAAAAGATAGTACGAGCATTTTACACCATAATCTGGAAGCAAAAGTAATGGTTTTTCCCATGTAATTTTTTTTAGCCTATCCTAGCTTTCCATTTCTTCGTTGCATTCATGCTTTTTAAGAGTTCTCCTTCAATTGTAGAAAAGAAAGATTTCCTGTAATATCCCAGCACAGCAGTGCAGGCCAATGTTGATTGGAGGCTTTTTGGTGGAAAGTAACAAATTATACACTTGCAGAGAATGTAGTTACTAGATATCAACTGTTTTTAGACAATTTTCATCTACATATTATTCTTGGCAGCCTTAACAGAATTTATTTTCCATAGCCTTTGATATTTTGAAAGACTACCTTTTGTTTTAGAAATTTGAAAGAATTATACTAAATCGGGCTAATGTTATGTTCATTTGTCTGAAACAGTGCCTTGAACCATGTAACAGTAACATTCTTGTAATGTTTAAGCAACAGCATTAAATGGTGTTGGGATTTGTTTCAAAGGCTGCTATTTTGGAACTAATTGAATAGATGAAGTAACTCACCTCAGTTATATACAACTTGAAATATAAACTGCATCATGTACTAGATGAAGAATTGTGTTCCAGTAAAATGGATTGTTATTCAAATAGGCTGGAACTTCTGTAAGTTACAGAATTGTCATGCTTATCAATCTTCTTGCTGGGAATAACTGAATAATGCTATAGGTCTCCTATATGTGCCATTTTGGAATGACAAGATCTTTGGTCTTACAATTTTGCATATACAAAAGATGTATTTTCATGTATAGTCAATGTATATTGAAAATAAACATACATACAAACAAACAGCCTATGTGGCAACGTTATACTGTTATCTGTGAATTTTAGTCCCTGTCTTGTACTATCAACTTACATATGTTTCATTTTGGGCTGTAAATGTTAATATATTTCATAAGGGCAACTTCAGATAGTAGAATTAATATGCAGTGTAAGCTGGTTTAGTTTATCACTTTTCTGCTGTACATTATCTATACAATGCACCTGAAGTAGTTCATAAAAAGATATGCCTTTTAGTAAAATATATTAGGAATATGGTTTTCCGTACAGATAGGAAATATGTGAAAAGTCTCTTTTTAAATATTTAAACCATGATTTGATCAACTTGTGATGCAATATTTGAAACTGGCAATATAAAAAATTGTTTCAAGTATACTTAATTAAGTCAAAAGGATCCTTAACTAAAATGATTGGCAGCCTGAGCATAATTGATCTTCCATGGAATTTGATACAGCTGCCAAATTAAAAGTATTGACCTGTTTAAACAGCTGGTGGCTGGGTGTGGTTTCCTCTGAAAAGTAGGGTTCTTGCATGTTTTTCTCTTGATGCATAAATGGGACACTCAACTTTGGGGCACTACTGTCGGGAGCTGAATAAAGCACTTATCAAGTGGAAGATCAGTCTAATTTTGAATGGAATATCTTTTTTCCTAATGAAATCATAATCTCATTTAAGATTTTCCACTTAATTGGTTGGCTCTTTCCAAATATCAAAGTGTTTTGTTTGTTTTCCAGGTTTTTGAGCATGAAGAAGAGAACAGATGAGGCAGAGCTGAATGGAGCAGGATGTATCACCTCCCAAATCCTAGAAATCTTAGTTCATAAATACACATACCAGTGGTTGTGGGCAACCATCTACTTGATGTAAAGAACTTGCTTTCAGTATAAACTGGCTCTGGGCAGCACCATTGATGCTGCATCTCTTGAGTTGTAGCAGCTGTAATTGTGAATATTACTGAGATAGTTGAACATGGTGTCCAGTTTTCTATTGCATTTTTTCAAGTGGAAAAATTAACCGAGTGGTTGACACACAAGTGGTGGAGAGAATTGTGCATATGCCAATTTTTGTAACCTTTTTACTTTGAACTACACTGCTTATGAGATCTAATTATTTTGGAAGAATGGCATGAACAAGTCTTCAGAACAGTTGCGATAATTGTAAATGCTCACAATTGTGCACTTCTTCTGGGTATTCCTCCCTGGTTCTGAAAGTTGTACACTTAAAACATTCTTAAAATTGCTGGTAACTTGAGTGATGTAACAAGCCAGCTATTGTGGTAGTAACCAAAGATTCCAGTTTTAAGCATATGAAAGACTCTGCCTGCTTACCTGTGCATAGAAATAACAGCATCTAAAGTGAAGACTTAAGAGAAATTTAGCGACTACTAGATTACGTTTAGGACTTTGCATTAACTCTATAATGTTATTGGTATAAAAGGAGAAGCAGCATATTTGTCACAAATTTAGTTAACATCCTCCAACTGAAACTATGTAAAAGTTGCTTAGATAAATGTAATCACTGTAAACATCTAGAAGATCTGGGATTTTGTTTTTATTTTGAAATGGGAGCATTTTTGTTTACAAGTTCATTAAAAACTAAACTGTTCCTATAAGGAATCTTTTTTTTAATTTGCCTTGATAATTTGCAAACTAAATTAGACACCACCTTTTTTTAAAATGGCAGTTACAATGCCATTTGTTAAAGCAACAGTCCTGTTTCTTAATCATTTTAGATCTAGTGTTGTAACTCTTCCTCACTTTTGTTTTTAAATAAATTTTGTATTTGTTTTCCTGATGGGGAGGGGCACACTTGCATTTTTATAATCTGTTGCATTAATACCCAGTCTGCTGTAACGAGATCAGATGAAAATAAAGGAATCTTTTCAGACCCATTGCAACAGTTTACAAATCTTGCCATAACTTTGCATTGGCTAGACTTGTTTATTTTTTGCAGATTTAAAATGAAATGGTATGAAGGGTGTTAAAAAGGAAGAATTTTCTTTCGAATTCTTGTGAAACAAATATGACAGGTTTACTCTTGGTCTCAGGCAGCCTCTCACATTGGTTACTGGTTACTGCCTTAGATTATCTTTTCACTCCAATCCAGCTGAAAAACATTCTTATTGCTGGTGATTCATATAACAGTGTAACTTATTCCTTTATAGCATGTCAGAATAAATTTTAAAAGTTGTCTGAAAATGCTGCCAGATGCCTACTGTGTACATGGTTTTTTATGACTTGCACAGCTCTTCTGTGTTTATCAAATTAGTCCCAGTACATATTTCAATATGAGACATTGAAGCTCCCTTTAAACAACTCCTTTTCCACAAAGTAAATACTTATATTTTATACTATTGTCATTCGAGCATAGATACTTGGAGGAGGACATCATTAAGAAATAGAGTGTGCAAATAAGGACTTTTTGGATATGCTTTGTACAGTTTTGCTCAGGTTTTTTTTTTTTCCTGGAAACAAACATACTTAAAAAAATTCCCAAAACTCATTCAGGTTTTCTAATTCTTATGAATGTAAGTTTCATTTTCTTTAACAAACTGTACAAATAATGGTGAGGGATGGAAATAATAACTTGCTTATATATGTAGTTCAGTCCTACTAATGGAAGATGAGGCACATGTAAATATATCCAGCTTTGTAAAAGCAGAACTTCACATTTTTATAGTAGCTAAATTACTTTTAGGGAGAATATGCTTAGCTTATTAAGATGCTGTATAAACATTTCATTGTCAATGCAATGAGGTAGCAAAATGTACACAAAACTAGACAAAATGCTTCCTCCTTGTGGATTTTGCACTATGAATTCCTAACTTGAAAATGATCATATGGATTAATAGTTTGATATTATTAAGGAACTTTTAAATTATAGTGACCAAAACAATAGTTGCAAAAGAATGATGGTTGGAAGGGGCAAAGAGTTATCTATCCCAAGAGAGTGCCTGCTGATTTTTTGGCAGGCTTATTTCTTAAGTCATTCCTTCTTAATATCAGGATTAATAACATCTAGACTGATAGTAGTTAGTTAAAAATTAATATTGGAAAGGGACGGCTGATTTAATTGGCTCAATGTAGCTTTGCTTTTTTCCCTTTTTACTGAATATACTGAACAATTAAATGTGCTAATAAAGTTGATTCAGAGAGCTAATGCTGGTTCTCTAATTGATATGGTGACTACAGTAATTGTCTTTAATCATGACCGGTAAGTACTGAATGTACAGATTAACATTCAAAATAATGGTTGGTTTTAGTTACAGATTACATACTAGAAATGTTTAGAGTACATTTTTCATGCAGCAGAATTTCCCTTTGGTCTCTGCCGCATTTCATGAGATCCTCCGCCTCCCCCTCTAGAAAAATGTTTCAGTGTTCCAGATTGAATTTAGAGGGGTATGTTAGGTCAATGCAAGATTAACTCATTTTAACTCATTTTTTAAGTCAAGAACTTCTGCTTGAAATCCAATGAATTGTATTAGGCCTTGGGCCATAGAACATAATGAAAAATAATCATACGACAAGGAAAATAAAATCCTTGTGATAATAGAACAATTGTTTTTACCTAATATTGGATACAAATCCTTCTGGATTAAAGTATGAGATAAGTGAAGTGTCCAGTTTCAAGAGTCTCAAAACACGAGAGTGCAACACATACTTGTCAAGAGAAAAAAATATCCAAAATAAAGAGTATCAACAGAAGAAGAAAAAATTCTTCTGTAAATTAACTCTTAATTGGCTATCCTTCGGTCAATTTGTCTCATGAAGATTTCATGTTTTTGTTTTTGGAAGACATTTATAAAATTTATTGGCCACCCATGTTACCACAGAGTAATTATGGACAGCTAAACATTTGTCTTACAGAGTTATGAATACAAAGATATAACCATCTCTTTACAAAGAGCAAAAATTGGCTTGAATGTAATACCACCTGCAAAATAGTTATTGGTCTGGAGAATTGTAGAAAGTGGGAAAGTAAAACTTAGAATTCAGTTTTTAAAAATGATTACCATTCTACCTGAAAGAAGTGTTACACACAACTCATTCTATAACTGCTTTTGCTGAAATTAGAGACAAAGTTTTAAATAAAAACTTCACATCCTAGATTCACTACTTTTACTGTACTACTACTTATTATTTACTAATGTATCATTCTAGTAAAAATCATAAGGTTTAACCTTTATTGAATTGTAGTAAAGCTACATTTGACCAGTGTCACAAAATGTTGGACTCTTGATTTCTTTGCAGTAGTGCTTGAAATTTCAGAATCCACTGCTGAGGAAGTTGACTCTTGAAAAGGTAAGTAGCAATGCCATAGCAAGAGATCACTTGCAGAACAGCTGAACAAATTACTTTGGAAGGATTTGTTAAGAACTGCAAACTTAATAGAATTCCTCACCAGAAATATTTTTTCACTCTTAAGAGAGCATTATTGTATGACTCTAGATTATTTTTGTTCAAGTACACTGAAGTAATGAACTTTCTATCATATTCCTGTAGAAAACTGCTTTAAAAACAGGCATATGATAATCAATGTATATAATATCCTAAGTGAAAATAATGTAGAAATCATAGGTCTCAGTAAAATGTTATTAATTACTATCCTTGTGTGATTTGTAAAAGTGGGTTTGTGTAGACTTATACTACATGGAAGAGTTTCATACTTAAATGTTCACTAAAATCAGGGTGGTGAAAAATTACTTATATTACAGAATTGTAAAAGGCTTTAGATATTCTTTGAAGAACCTATGTTGTATGTTATGTTTGTTTTGCCAGTTTGTACAGATAATTATAGAACAAGGTTTATTCTGCTTTCAAAAAGCAAGTAATATCTTATTAAAACAAGTAGTTTAAATCTGCATCAAACATTTCATACAATAATTGATAGACTTCTTCGTTCATAGCTGAAATAGCTACTTTTACAATAATTCGTTATTTTAATCCTAGATAACTTGCATTCCAGAATCACTGGCATTTTCAAACTTCGAGCAAGTAATGTTGGTGGATTTTAGAAAGGAAGCTGAGATAATTTCTTTTTAAAAAATGCATTTACTATGATTATGTGCTTTTCATTTTACATCATTAGGTTTCTGATTTGCAGTGGAAGCGTGGAAACATACATTCACCATGTTTAGTTTTATTGATGGTATAGGAAAGCTTGCTCAATACCCTTTTTTGGATTACAATATCCACTCAAATAGATTAGATCTCCCCCACCCTCCAATATTCCATTGGATGGTATTTATATTTTCTCTGAAAGATTAGAAATATCTCTGAAAAGATTTGGAGAGAAAGAGAAGTCCTAGAACTCAAAACTTTGTTCTTGAGCTGAAGCCATACAGTGCTTTCAGGAACCGCTGAAAACCATCTTAAAACATGGTTTCAGCAGTTCCTAAAAAGATTACACACCCTCAGTGGTTGAACTTTTAGTTATAGGTAGCCCATTTGTATTTAGGGGTTGTTCTTAAATTGGATGTTCTTAATCTGGGAACTGCCTTTATACTGAAGTCTAGTCTCCAAAGCAGTTGCTGCTAATCTTCATCTTATGAAATAAACATAGATTCCTATACTTTAGAAGGTAGAGTCAAGATATGGAGTATGATATGTTCTCTATCAAAAACACCTTTTATATAGTAAAATGCTAAGAAGTCAGACTATTACTGTTAGGCCCATTAGCAAAATATTTGTGTTGACAGTGATTCTCTAGTGCTATCCAGAGATGTTAAACATAAATCCCTTTGAATTAAGAACATACTTTTTCACTGGGCTGTATCACTTTCTCAGAACTAAAAGGGCGCAAACTGGATAAGGCCCCAATAAATTGGATAATTTTTTATTCTTCACAGGGTTCCTTTTATACCATGCAGAGTTATGTGCCATTTCTAACATAATCATCCTTAAGAGAGCTTTTTCCTTAAAATTTCAAGAAAGGCATTTGCAAGTTCTAAAATATTTCTCTGGCTGATTATCCAACAACTTTATATTGATAAGGTGATTCCAAGATTAAAACACCATACAAACAGCTAAATCGATAAAAAGAAAACTAAGCACCCTTCTCAAACTGAGTACCAGGAATTGAGCACTTTACCAACGTAACTAGGCAGGAAATTGCCTCCTTCCAGGAAAGACATTTGAGCAGAGCAATTGAGATTAGGTGCTGCTGTTGACTAAATCTGTTCCAGATGATTTGGGACTTTCAAAATGAATCTAGTAGGTGGGGTTGAGATATAATTGCTGCAAGGTTCTAACCCAAATCTATTACCTGATTCAATATGTAAGTAAACATACTATATTGTTTAGCTGCAAAAAATTGTTCTGGAACACCTTTAATGGATCCCATATTACTAATCCTTAAAAATGTCCTTTTCCTTTAGTGTTCCATACTAGGCTAGACTTTGGGCCTTGCTTGTCCATACCAAGGAACAGTATCTCCCAGGTTTCATGCAGTTTATCAAGTCATCCTAGATTTCAAGAGTTGACTAGAATCTTCTACATGCAATGGGTATATTCTTCTGTCTCTTCACTTAAGTAGCTAAGTGAGGGGGGATTTATAGATTTATAGAAGTGGACATAAGATAAACATGTTAGTAGCAAAATGAGTCAAGTGGCACTTTTTCAGACAAAAATCAAAAGGTATTGAGTTAAACCTCATCCTACATTTCTGATAAAGCTGCATCTCTCAAAAGCAGAAACATTAAGAAATGTTTTCTGATGTCCTTGTATTGAACAGGTATTGGTATGGTTAGAGAGTATTTATCAGAAAACTTAGACCACTAGCAAGGAATATTTGACTATAGGACTAGATTGCTCTCCCGTATATAGTAATCTTGAGTTATTAGTAGGGAATTGTCCCTCTGCATTCCAGGAAATTTTAAGTAATTGAGAATTGTAAGCAAACCAGTTGTAGACCATAAATTCCCAATTCCAAACGCGGCTTCAGTTGTGAACTTTATGTAGCCACCCAACTTATATCAAACCTATAAGGGTGACCTTATAAAATTTCACTCCCAGCTTTGCTATTTTCTTTCCACATATTTTCTGTACAGAATTTAAGAGTGGCCATCCTTCTGGGAGTCCTTGAGCTGTTCCTAAAATTCTGCAAAAGTCTTGTGTTGAAGATAATGCTATGAGTGACTCTTTTTCTCATCTACTGTAGGTAGCAGATATGAGTAGCTGAAAAGCATGCTTCTAGGCTGCAGAATTCCTGCCTTCACTTTATATAAACCCAGAATTAAAAACATAAATAGCATTCTATTACAATACTTACTCTAAAATTATGTTCCTTAGATTTAGCATTTTATTAGGTCCCGGCAGTATAAGATGAGGTGTAGCTATGCATTTTTAAAGTCACATGAACAAGCTTATATTTCAAAGCAGAGATGAAGATGTCTACTCGTGCTGGGTTCTTTCCATCATTCTTTTTAAAAAAGTTAAGGTGGGGAGGAGATATATCTGTTACCAAGTAAATGACAGGAAATCTACATTAGCTGGCTCCAAAATATACTGCCCATTAAATCTTTAACGGGAGAATGGGATTCAGCAGCTGGCCAGCTTATAAAAAATGGAGCTCAGTATCCCTTTCTCAGGGTTGCCTAGAAACCGGTCAACAGTGTAATGAATAACTTGTGGAGTGAGGAGATGATGTCAAACTTTTCCTGCTGTCAGTTGCTGTCAGCTGTTTCACCTTCATGCATTCATCCTAAGCTTTGGGAAGTGGGAGGAGAATGGATTCATTAAACCTAGGTTCCTTTCAAAGTTAAACTGGATCCCTCAGCAATAAGTCCTATATTGTAATTTCATATCAAGATTCTTCTACAGCACTAGAAATAGTGAATTGAGACAACTCATGTTCTCAATTTAATAGTTGTCATAAGGGAAATTGTTTATATAGCAATCTGCATTTTACTTTGTTGAGTGAACTATTCTGCATTTGGGACCCTTTTCTGCTTTCCAAGTCCAGTTTACCCAAGAAATAATCCCTAATAATCTACTTAGCTTGAAGTATGTCAAAATTGTGTGAATATTGACTTCCTTTTTATAGTCCCTAAAATGTATGCTTTATTACTCTATTTCTCCATTACATTAGTTGAGCTGCTGAGAATCTCCAAAAATTGGATAGAAGATCTTCATGTACAAAAATCATTCTGATGTCTTTGGCATTGCCCTAGTACATCCTTCAATATCATGAAGGTCCTAATGGTCTTAGAAACTGAGCTACTTCTGCAAATTAAGCAGCTCAATTTCTACTCGAGAGAAAACTCTTTAACTCTAGAGCAACCGGTTCCCTTGTATGGAACTCCTGTTCTGAACCCCAGGATGCTTCTCTTCAGTGTAGCGGTCATAGTGTTGTGGGATGCTCCTTCCATGGTTTCTAGGTGCTTTGAGTGATGACTTAGCTTCTTTCCCCACATAAACGGTCTGCTTCTTCCCTCACTTTTTTTTTGCTGTAATTTTTATTTTGCTTGGTTGTCCTAGATAGCAAATGTGACCAAGGTAGAGAACCAACTGCATGGGGTGGGATCTTCCTTTCACCTTGGCTTTAGACATTTGGCCAAGGCAGGTGAGAAATCAAGGAAAAGTTAATGCTCCAAAAAACAAGGTACCTCTCTCCTTTTCCCATCTAGCTCTTGGAAAAAAATAAATGGAGATACTATACTATGGACTATACTTCTTTCCTTCCTTCCTTCCTTCCTTCTTCCTTCCTTCCTTCCTTCCTTCCTTTCTTTCTTTCTTTCTTTCTTTCTTTTTCGGAGTTTAGCATTTCCCCTCTTCCATAATTTTTTGGTTTTCATAGATAGCTTCCTTAGTTGTGGCCTCAAGTTTACTTTGTTAGAATGCTGAATACCCACTCAATACACATAAACATTCCACATTATTGTGACATGAGACCTAAAAAGGAATGCTGTCATGCAATTTGTTAGGCAGCAGGAGTACTGCAAGTTTAGAAATGCCCACTTCTACCCCTAGAGGAAATCAGAAAAACAATAATACACGTCAAAAGTAAACAATCATGCATTTTGTTATAATAGTATACTGTATATCATGAACTATATCATGACTGGTTTGGTGTAGTAGTGAAGGTGTTGTTCTGGAAATGAGAAGACTGAGAGTTCTAGTCCCATCTTAGGCGTCAAAGTCAACTGAATGACTTTGGACCAGTCACTCACTCTTGGCACAGCTCACCTCACAGGGTGGTAGTTATAGGCAAACAGGAAGAACAAGGAGTTATCAAGTATGTTTGCTGCTTTGAATTAAAGGTAGTCCTTATGACCACAATTGAGTCCAACGTTTATGTTGCTAGGTGAGAAATTTGTTAAGTAAGTTTTGCCCCATTTTGCCACATTTGTTCAGTGAATCACTGCAGTTGT